AATTTTCCATAAAAATTTTAATGAAAATTGAATTACACAGTACAATCTCTCTAATTCGAATCTCCATAATTCCATTAAATGCAAAGTCACCGTGAAAAGCGCTTAAAAAAGTTTTCTAGTTTAAATAAAAACACCATTTGAATATAATTTTTCTGATTCTTTAATAAATTGGAGCTCAATAAATCAGTTTTTTGTCTCATCAAAATCGTTTATTCATGTATGGCACTGATATTTTGCCAATTAAGTGGAGCATTTGTTAAGTTAATGGATTTAAATACTGTAAATAGCAAGATCTTTTTAGGCGAGCTAACCAAAAGAGGTGTTTGGTTCTTTTGGTAGTGGCGATAATTTAAGTTTACACTATCAAACACTTTCAAAAGATACCGTTCAATACCGAACTTTTGAAAGTGTTGATATTTAAAAAACTTACTTTCAATTTCACTATCATAACTTTGGTAGTGACTGGTTATTAATACCGACCAGAATATTATACCGACTTTTCTGACTACCGCGATCCCTTCTTTGAAGCACGTAATTGTGACGCATTGACGCAATGGCTGATTAATTTCTTTAATTTCTCAATCAATTATGGATGGACTTCAAAATCAGTGTCTTCATATATCATTATACCCAAAACTCTTATACCTTAGTGTTTACAATTACCTATTAAAATCTGCTGAAAATATCAGTAAAGATTAATATAAAGAGATTCGATGTATATAATGCTTCTTGTTAATTTAAATAAGGATGGCTTGAACCGTTTTTATATCATTATTTTGGAAAAGAATGTAATAATATTTAATAAGAAACTGTAGTAATTTGAGAAAATAAACAATTCCTTTTCCAGCCTATAATTTTTGATTAACATAAAACTGCTACTAATGCTTACCACGATTTCCAAAAATTTTTTGGATTGACGAGACAAAATCTTCTAGTTTTGTCTTAAATATTTTATGAAAAACACTTTTAGTTGTCAAGCTCAAGCAAAATTTTGTTGATAATAATTATTAAAAGCAGAGTTATTGCTAGGTTTTAAATTTTTTATACTTAAAAAGTTTTTGCAACAGTTTTGCAATTGTTTGCTATTGAAATCAAAAAAATCAATAAAAAAGTTTGGGTCTATAATTAAAATAAGATTTTTTTTTATCTTTTTCAGATATCTATGAGTTACCATAAACTATTTAAAAGTCGTAACTAGGCTACTTCCTGTAATCCAGTATGGAGATCTTGTCTTTTTAGCAACTACTGATGATGCAACTTATTCAGCTTCAATTCGATCATTTAAAACAAAATTTATTAAATTTTGATGTTCTTTTCTATTTGTGCAAAATTGACTCAATGAACATAAAAATGATTCACTGACATTATGTGCATCTTTTCCATTTTGTTGCGTGAAAATAAAGCTCCTGAACTTAATAATAATTATGCATTAATTATTTTTTTCTTTGTTTGTCTTCAATTGGATGGCTTTTGTTTTTCAATCTTGCAAGCCAAAGTTATAGTTCAGAGTATTATTATCGATTAATATGAATTAAATTAAAACTAGACAGCTCAGGCAATTTAGTTTTTTTATCATTTAGATTCCAGCTGTTATCACAAACTCTTTTTAACACAAAACCTTTATTAATAAAATCCAATTTATTTATTATTACTATTAAAGTTTTATCGTTTATCACAAGTTTGTTTAGTCTTCCAATAATAAATCTTGTAAGTTTTCTTTTACATTTAGGTAAGCATTAAAAGTTTTTCTGTTAACCTTGTAGTTTTATATTTTGTATCATATAGGTTATATTTAACAAAAAGTTTTATTAAGTGAAGCATGATTAGTAACACATTACACATTGTATAATTATTTTAAAATTATTACAATTTTACTTTCTCTAATATTTTGCTTCTTTACATTTTTCAAAATATATTTTCATTATTCTCTTATTTGTTGTTTATTTGTTGTTGTTTTTTTAAAAAAAGTCATGAGGATTAAATACTATTTTTATCTTAAAAAAATTGATTAAAAAAAATAAGCAAATAAAAAAATAAGACGCTTTTGTTTATTGAATATTTACTTAGAAGTTATTGAATAATTATTTTTTAAAAACTATGAATAAATTCATACAAATCATTGGTTTTAAAAAACTTTTTGCAAAAGTTTCTGTTATTAATCTTTTTTTTTTAATTGTATTTGGAATCGTTTTCTTTTAGTAAGTAGTGCTACAATTGGTTTACGCTTGGTAACATTCGATTAAGTTTAAAATTTAAAACTTTTTTTCCATCAACTTTGTTTTTTCCTTTTTTTTTGCTATTCAATTTTTACAATTTTACCAAAATAAATTGTGTTTTTCTGATTATTGATATATGCAAATGTTTAAAAACATTTTACTATTTAAAAGATAAAACTTTCAAAAATGAAATAATTTTTATCTTTTATTATTTAGCCAGATTCAGGTTGCTTTACGTAATTACTTAAAATAAGCTAGTTCGCCAAGTCGGTTAAAGTTAACCTGCAAAATAACAAACTGGATAATCTTTCTCTAAAGTAAACAATCTTAAAGTTATATTTATGAGATGATATCATTTCATACTTTGCACTTATAAATCAATTATGTGCAATTTAAATTGTAAATAAAGTCTTAGTCATGTTTTAATCTGGTTATAAAAATAACGATAGATAACGACAATATAAAAGTAACAACAGATAATGACAATCTAAAAATAACAACAGGTAACGACAATATAAAACTAACGACAGATAACGACAATATAAAAATAACAAAAGATAACAGCAATATAAATACGACTAAGAACCGCCAATAAATCTAAGAAAGTTAAGGTGTAGTAATAACATACTTGATCCTGGTTTTAAAAGCAGTTTTTATTGGTTTACTGGTTAAAAATTAGGCTACTAAATATTCTTAGTGATTTTGTAAAACGATTTAAGCTTAAAATTAGTTGAAACTATAATCGTCTATATAACATAACATAAAATAATACACATTTTTAGAATCGAGGCGACGGAAAAACCAGGGATCTTATTTCCTTCCCTTTCTTCCACATTTATCATAAATACAAAATGTAATGTAAAATGCATAAAATTATTTTAAGTTAAAAATAAAAACTAACGTTGTAATCTTTGAATTTATGGAAACTAATTTACAAAAAGTTAAAAGTTTCCTCACTTTTCCTTTTATTAAATTTTAATTAAAAAAAAAGTTAAATCAAATAAGAGGTTTGCGTATGCACTACCCAGTGGCGGATTTAGTATAAGGCGTGGGGGAGCGAGCTACCCCCGCCCCCCTAGAACGGTTTATCGGCGCCCCCCCTAAAACAATCAAAAAAAATAATTATTATAAGATCAAATTACTGAAGACAACCGCGGTCGCCCCAATTCATTGACTTGCCCCCCCCCCCCCCCCGTAACACTAAACCTCAATCCGCCACTGGCACCACCTCGTTAACTATTTAGATAAAAAAATACAGCATAATATTAAAAGACTTCATCAAGAGACTTAAAACAATTAGAAGATTTGGAAAACTGTTATAAACATTATTTTGGCACGATAAACATTGTTTTCAAACTTAATTTATTTATATTCAAAGAAATTTATTCAACTTATTGTTTTCTATTCTTTATCTCAATGTAAAATATTTAAAAATTATTTTTTAAGAAAAACAAAAACGTTTTAATACTTTTTTAAAGGCATCTAAATATTAATCTTTGGAAGCGATGCACTTCCAAAATTTTGCATTAGATATGTCAAGATACGTTGTTTTTTTAAAGTTATCAATTTGCACAATGTCGTAATAATAAAAATAAAACTTATAATGTCTTGATAATAAAAATGAAATTTATAATGAGAAGTCTAACAATAATAGTCGTAAAATACTACAAACTAATATCACGCAAATTAAAATCTATTTATACGAATAGTTTCAGTATTAAGATATTTTTATAAAATGTGCTTATTTATTATTCAGTTTTTATATCCAATATTGCCGCTAAAAAACTTGTCATATTTATGCATCGGTCTAATAATAAGATTGCCGTTTAGTTTCATCGGCTTAATAATAAGATTGGCGATTGCCGTTTCAAATGACATTTAAAACAACGTAATTCAAATTTTGTTTCTTAATAATTTAAAAGCAAATTAAACTAAATTCTTTATAAAAAATTTTGGTTATAAAATATTGCCTCTAAAACTTGCGGACCAGGAATACAATGGCTAGAGCTAGATGATGATCTATCCTCTTCACTATTCCAGCATTAGCTTAACAGTGTCGAACAGTTTAAATCTGAACCTATTTTGAATAAAAAATTATTTATCGTTTTTTGCAAATTAGAAAAAATATTTTTGCGCACTTGAACGTCTTATGTGATTCCTAATGTATGAATTATTTCTTAAAGTCATGTAACTACTTGTGTCATAAATTTTATAAATTTTTAATAAACGACAATATAAATGATGTAAAATTTTCAAAAAAATTAAATTGAAATTTGTCAGATTTAGTAAAAAATCAGAAAATTATTTTTTTATTTTGCATTAACTGTTGCATAACAGTGTAATCTACAAAATAATGATAAATTAATATTAATAATAACAATATAAAATAATTTTAATAAATAAAATTAACAAAAAATTTTTAGTAAACCGTCAATCAATTTATAAATAAATTACAAGCTAAAACTATTATGTTAAACTATTAGAATTCCGATAGACTTAGTCAATTCCGATATATACTAAAGATTCAAAGGTTTATAAACAATCAAAGGAATTTTTTTGGTCTACACGTGATCTAGGGCTATTAACTTTCCTGAATTTGTTTAACCTTATTTTAAAATAAATTAAATTAAAATTTAAGAAACTTTTTTTTTTTTTTAACTATTTTTAATTTTTACCGATCTTACTTTTTCATCGTAATTTTCAAAAAATAAATTTTTTCAAATTAAAATTTTTTCGCATTAAAATTTCTTAATTACAAATTTAAAAAAAATAATTTTTTTTTACCTATTGTTATTATCTTCTGAATATAACCGTCCATACTTAGGAAGATGCAGTCCATCATTAGTTGATGCTGAAAATCGATCATCGGGAAGCTTTACATTATCCGGTAGTCCGCGGTTTAATCCCAAAGAATTGTCACATAGGAAACCTAGAAATCAGAGTATTATTTACATATGATATCAGAGATACTTGCGTTATTGTGTTGTTGTTGTGGTTATTGTTGAAGTTGTTGTTGTTCGTGGTACGAGGATAGTGATAACCAATTATTTTTTTAAATAAGTTTTTTACTTTATTAGGTTCAAAAGTAACGAAAAAATTGAAAAAAATAAAATAAAAATTTATATAAATATACATACATACATACATACATACAGATAAATATATATATATATATATATATATATATATATATATATATATATATATATATATATATATATATATATATATATATATATATGTATATGTATATATATATATATATATATATGTATATATATATATATATATATATATATATATATATATATATATATATATATATATATATCTGTATGTATGTATGTATGTATGTATGTATGTATGTATGTATGTATGTATGTATGTATGTATGTATGTATGTATGTATGTATGTATGTATGCATGTATGTATGTATGTATGTATGTATGTATGTATGTATGTATGTATGTATGTATGTATGTATGTATGTATGTATGTATGTATGTATGTATGTATGTATGTATGTATGTATACTGTATACTGTTTCATCCAATAAACTAGATTACACATAAAATGTTTATATTGGTATTAGCGAGACCCCTTTCAAGTTAAGGTATGCAAACAATTTAAAATCTATTAATTTAATTAAGTACAGCAATGATACGGAATTATCTAAAGAAATTTAGAAACTTAAAGAAGAAAACTTTTCGTTTTTTTTTTAGTGGAAAATTATCAAGCGCTGCCAAACATACAATCCTTCTTCCAAAATTTGCAACCTTTGTCTTAATGAAAAGTATTATATTTTAACGCATACAGGGGGAAATCTGTTGAACAAAAAGAACGATTTGGTTTCCAATTGTAGGCATAAAAATAAATTCCTTCTTTCTTTTTATGACACGAGCGATTAGCTGATTTATATACAATTTTCTTTGACGTTTTTTTGTTTTGTCTCTATAGAGACGCAAGATGTCGCTCCACTGTATTTTGTAATTATATTAACGGTTTTTTGTTTGTTTTTGATATAGTGCATGGCTAATGATATAGTTTCATTGCCGTATAGGCATGGTTTTATAACGTTGTTTATGTTTTGGAACAAGATCTTAATTCATAATACGTTAAAGAAAAAAGAAAAGAATGGATGGTGAAACATTGAGAGATGCTGGTTTATCAGGAAATATGGAAAGAGTTATGAAAGGGACTGTCAAACCTCGATCCTCGATCGGCAAATCTAGATTTTTATTTATTTTTCATACATTTTTTTAGCTTTCTTTCATATATTTCTTAGGATTATTTATTTTATTATTTATTTATTTTTTTCTTCAATTTTTTAGCGTATATAGTTTTACTTGTTATTTTTTGTTAGTCATTTGTTTGTTTTTTAGTTATTATTTATTTTTAGTGGTATATAAATTTTTTATACAGTTATATATTGTTTGTTTTTATTTTCATTTTTAGCCATTTATTATATATGTTTAATTCTACCGTTTTTTGTTATTATCTTTTTTAATTTTAAGTTTTTTTTTTGTTGTTGTTGTTTGTTTTGTTTATTTTGCATAGTTTTTTGTTTTGTTTCGTAATGATTGTTGTAAACTTGTTTTGTTTTGATTTTCTCAGTGTTTTTCTGTTTATATTATATTTATTTATTTGGTCAAAATATTTGCAATATATTTTGATTATTATATTTTTACAACTATGATTATATTAATATATTTACTAAATCTTTAATTTTTTTTTAGTAGTAGTCGTTTTTATGTCATCGTTAGTTGTTACGTTTTGTCAGTTTATTACTGTTTGTAACTGTAACTTTGCATGTAAAAATGATTGCTGTAGGGAAAATACCGATTATTTAAATTATTATAATTACTTTATTGCTATTGTTATTATTATTATTATTATTATTATTATAATAATAATAATTATTATTATTATTATTATTATTATTATTGCTATTATTATTATTAAGATTAATTGTATATATATAAATTATTTTTTTTAGGTATTTACTTGAGATTAGTATTTCAATACTATTTGTAAATAGCCTTGAAAATTTATTTTCAGAATATATATGATTGATTGATTGATCAACCTTCTATTCCATGAATAAAAAAGAAGCTTCGTTTTCAAAAAATTAATGAAATTTTTGGATTTCTTCTTGATATGGAAAGATTTTGTTTTCAAAATTCAAAATAAGCTACTGCACTTGAAAGAGTGTTATGAAATATTTGGGGAGTCTACAGTTATGATGTGTATGGGAAAGAATTATATAAAGGAATTTGGGATTTTAGAACGCTGCTCTTAAGCCCATAGCAATTACTTATTTTTTTAGTTCACAAGAAATATTGGTGACAATTGCAGTTTTTATTGCCAATTGCAAGATTGTTTAGTAAATTAAATTCATACTTTCATACTTGATAGTCTCGATGAGACAAATTCGATTATGAGATGCTTTGTTGAGCACAGAACAAGAAATGACCAAAGAAATTGACTTTGATAACATAGTTAAACAAATTGCGTTAGCTAAAGGAATAAAGACAAATTTGTAATAAAATGTTAATAGATTAAATTAGTGCGCATTTTTAAGCAATTTTAAAGTTTTTTAGAAAATAAAACGGAAGCAACCTATCGTCGGAGAGAGGTGCAAGACGGTGTGTGTCATTGGCGGTATTTACTCTAGATATGCCACTGTATATACTTATGTTTTTATAAAAAAAAGCAAACCCGAAAAAAACTAAATATAATCTTAACTCTCGATTAATAGAACTATTTTAGTTCTATTAGCAGAGAAAGTATGGTTTGCAGTGTTGATTATACTTTTGCAGGATATGAGAAAAATGGTTAAGTTAATTGAAACTGTCATTTCAAAAAGGACACAAGCCCATTTCTTAATTTTTTTTAAAAAACTATACATAGGAGTAGATAAATAAAATATAAATTTTGTGAGCTTTATAACCATACAGTTCATAACCATAGTTCATTAAAAGTTACGTAAGTATAATATATATGTATATATATATATATATATATATATATATATATATATATATATATATATATATATATATATATATATATATATATATATATATATATATATATATACATATACATTAAAGATTTTTATTTTAATTCTCATATTGTTTTTTTATTTTACAAAATAAAAGAACACTTTTCTGTTTTTAATTCGATCTTATTGAAACAATCTTTTTTTTTTAACTGTTTCGTCCTGTTTCTTATCTTATCGTTTTGAGACGCTGATGTCTAGTTTTAATAATGTGGTAATTTCTGAACAAACGCGTCTGGTATTAATGTAGTTTAAATTTAATTTGATTCAAACATCGATCAATTTTTTTCAATTCAACAATAAATCTAAAAAACATGACATGCTATGCCTTAACCAAAAGAAAAAAAAACATTACATAACAACAGACTACCTAACAATAAAGATGAATTTATGACATTTTAAAAATAAAATGCTTTGAATGGTAACAAGTTTTCGATCAAATAATTAAAATAAAACATACCGAAAACACTTTGACATTCCAGGTATATAATTAAACAAAACTGTAACCATTTATTTTTTTGTAAGATCATTTAAAAGCTTATACAGTATTAAAAAGCGTTTTGAGTAGGTTCATATTTGAAAACCTAAACTTTTACAAAAATCTTTCTCAAATTTAATAATATTCTTACAGCTTTGAAATAAAAATTAAGCTTATCACTGTTATTTTCTCTGTATCTAAACATTAAAAAAAGTCAAATAAACTTTTCACTCTACGTATTCAAATGCCATTCTTAACTATTTAGCGGTGAAAATAAACATCATTCGTAATGTTGACATAACTTTTATATCGCAACAAAAGAAACGTTCGCTGAATAAACTATAATTTTCTAAAGGAAAACAAAACATTATACAGCGTAAGAAAAAACAAATTCGGTTAAGTATTTGCTTAAAAACGCTAATTAAAAAACCTGTATTTATTTAGGTTTTATTTTTAACTAATGACGTATAATAAGTTAGTAGAAAGACAATCAGTACCAAAGTATAGACAAACAATGTTTAAATTATTTCAACCATTGATTATACACCAAAACACCAAAACTTTGTTATAAGGGGGTCATCAGCTATGACATTTACTAAAAAACAGTAATAAGACTCAGTAACTTGGCAGTTCGACCAAATAGAGAAACTTAATACTTTTTATGCACATATATGTGCATGAAAATGTGCATGTGTTAAATTTAATTAAGTATAAAGTTTAATTAAGCAATTATAGTTGCAGTGCAACAAAAAACTGAAAGGTATTGTTTTAAAGAACGCCTATATGAAAAGACAATGGTTTTTGGTTTTGCTCCCCAACAACCCATTGCATGAAACGGTTAATCAAAGCTTGGCTTTAGCCACACATTGATTTACCTCTCTTTTCTCTGTAAGTTTACATATATATTTTTCTGTAATAATAAAAAAGTTTATTCGAAAAACATAACAGATTTAGTTAATCTTGCAATGTGTGTGTATCTGCTTTTTAGTTGTTTTAAGGTTACTTACCTTAGTTGTTTTAAGATTACTTACCTTAGTTGTTTTAAGGCTACTTACCTAAGTGGTTTTAAGGTTACTTACCTTAGTGGTTTTAAGGTTACTTACCTTTGTTTACACGTGCTAATTAGTTGCTTTTAAAACGTTGACACGAAATAAAAGTGAAAGCACTTAATTTTTTTCAGTGGTTTTATTAAAATCTTTTTAATTGTTTTGTATTTTGTTTAAAACAAGATTTCAAAACAAAAGTGTTAGTTTTTTGATTAAACTTAAAATTAGTTTTAAAAATGACAACAGAAAAAAAAAAATTACGCACAAATATTTGGTAAGTCGTTAGTCCGCGTAACACCACTTTTTTCTCAAAAAAATCGATCAAACAAAAATCTGGTGGTGGAAGAAAGGAGGGTTTTAAAGATATAAAACAAGTTAGCAAACTGGTCAACACTTTTGACATTAAACCAAGCCTTTCACTAAGAAAAAGCTCAAGAGTTAATAGGCTTCTCATTCCAACAAACAATGCCGTGGCTAGTGGATCTGGGTCCCCCCACCCCACCCCCAAACTAGCCATTTGGATCCCAATTTTTTTTGTTAAAAAAAGTGGATAAAATTTACAAATTACCCCGAAAAGCAGGGTACCTGACATATTTTTACGTCGCCGTTCATAAGACTAAAAACAATCAAATTAACGCTTAAATTGAATTAAATATATTTTATAATTGTTAAGTTGATATAGAGTTTCCTAGTAAAGAGTGTTTTTAAATACTCTTAATGTATTATGCAGATAACACAAGTACGTCGCAAACCATTAAAAAAAGGGTTTGCGACGTGTTTTCATGCTTGCAAACGCATTTATTATACCTTCATAACTTAATTTCCTAGCAAACTCGATTTCAATCGACAGTGTTGCTAAAGAAGAAAAACGTTCATCGACCATTATTGACTTATTTAAAGATACAACAAAATATAGCTACATGTATTTATGTATAATGAAGCAAGATTATTTTTACTAATCTATGAAAAGTTTTAATTAGTTTTAACTTGCTAAAGCTACGTTCTGCACTTGCAACAGTAACTGGTAAAATAAGAATGATTCGTAACGCAACAACTAAATTGGGATAGGTTTCTTGCAGCAAAAATCTGCTTTATACTGATGTTCAGGTTGTCGAGTATGATCAACACACTCGTATGAATAAATTAAATTTTTTTTTTTTCGTAAATGTGTTATTAGAAAAACTTTTTCAAGACCCAATACTTCTGCAATTTCTGATGCCTTAATACGTGCGTCAGAAAATCCATTTTTGCGAAACTCATAAAGAAATGCATTTGTTGCCTTTATTTCACTAGCTAATGTCGAGAGAGGTTGCAGAAGACTGAAAAAGCTTACTTGATTTGTTTATTTTTAATAAAACATCATACCAAATAATGATTGATAATAAGAAAGACCATGTTCTAATATATTCCGTGAGCAATCAGACTTCTGTGACTGTAGCCCCATCTCTCTTCTCTAAGTCATGTTCTTCCAAACTTTTTAGTGCCTCTAAGATTTCTTTTAAATAACAGTGAAGTGGTTTAACACAGTTTATTCCACTTACCCATCTTGCATCTGACTGTTTGACAGAAATAGCGAGGCACAATTTTAATTTTCCCATCGAGGAGGAGACAACGGAAAGAGTGTATATAACCTTGAAAGAACACTAAAAAGAAATTACACTGATAGATGACCTATGCTTATTTGTTCTTTGTGCAAAATGCATTGCGTATAATCTAAAATAATAATATAGTATTTTACATTTTTTACCCTAGATAGGTTTTCGGATTCAATCTCCTTCTCAAATCTCGTTCAGTGTGTCATTGCTCAAATAGTGCTAATTGGTTTCTTCGTCTTGAATTCTTTGCTTAAGCTCATTAATAACGGTATCGTAATTAGCCAGTAATTCAAACACCCCGAGAAAGTTTCCATTGCTCTTTGAACCGATGGCTGTGTCTGAACCACGGAATTCAAGATTTCTTGCAGAAAGAAATAAGTTAATGTTCAGTATTCTTTTTAACACTGCACTGCATAGATGAGCAACTTTTGTTGTTGCTCGTCTATGTTAGCTTGATTTGCAATGCCTGCATTACCAAAATTGAGGGAAAAAATTAATTTGGAAAAAAAAGTAACAAAGCAATAAATTAAAAGAAATATGAGTTAACCTATTTGTTAAGTCATATAAAAACACTTAAAGCTAAAAGCGCATCCAAAAGCAATGTTCAAAGCACTTAAAATGTGCACTGCATGTTTTGTGTTCTTTAAGTTTTTTTGATAAGCCTTACCAAGTGTTAATTACTAGTCAGAATGGTGAAGAAGTTATCCAAAAATTTTGAAACAAAAACAAAACACTTTATTGCTATTTAAAGAATATACGAGCTATGTCCGTTCAAAGATTTTTGCATTCTTCATCTCTATAATAAATTAGTGAAAATCTTCTTCTTTCTAAATAGTCAGGAAAATTAATTCAATCTTTTTAAAACCACGTTTAACTCAGAGGATCATCTCTGAGAAAAATAGGCGGAATTGTTTTGCCATTTGATGTAGACTCACATGTCAACCTATCTGACTCTTGTATTCATATAATGACAATCAGAATTATTTTTAGATTCAGTTGGTGTCAAAGCACTTCCAGGCTAAACTGCTGGTTTCAAAAAATTAGTTAGTTTGGGGTATTTTTTTGATTTTCTCTCTGGCTGCAGCTTTTTTCTTCTTATAGTGGCATCACTTTTCACTTTTTTCATACCAATATTTATATCATGAAAAACTAACGAAAGATAATTAATAAGTTTTGCAAACCTTCTTTCATTGTTTGTTTTTTATGATATAAAAAACTAACAACGCATAATAATAATAAAAACATCAACTCGAAATTGCAAAATAAAAATAATAAATTTATAAAGCTTGCGTTTTATAATATAATTCAGACTTCGGGAGTGTTAATTCTTTTTTTTTTTTTTTGGATGTTACTGCTTTTTTTACGCTTGCATAATTTAGGTAATATCGCGATTAAAAGGCCAAGTTTTTTTATTAATAGTAACAGTAACTATATATATTTAACTATTTTTTTATATATAAAAAAAAACAAAAACTTTTTTTTTTTTTGAAAAGGGCCTCTAAAAATGCTGGCCCCCCTCCAATTAAGGGGTATGGGGGAGCCTAGCCACAGCTCTGCCTACAAAGCACAAAGTGTCTAACCGATCTAAAACTCAACAAAAAAGTGCAAGAACCCGCTGCAAAAAATTGTATGAAAATTTTATTTTTAAATATTTCTGTGTTATTGAAGACGATGAAACTTAGGGGAGATGGGGGCGCATTGATCGCCGTTGCAGTATTTTGAAAACAAACAAACAACCCGATCTAGATAAAAAACTTATTAATTACTAAACTAAACTAGAACAATCCGTCTTTAAGTAAAAATAAATGTTTTAAGAAAAAACATTAATGAACATGGTATATTTCAACATTACAACAACCCTTGCAAAAGATCAATGTACCCCATGCAATGGGGTAGTATGATCTCTGATATGGGGCGCTTTGATCTTATATGAGTAACATTATTTAAATGTTTAATACTGCTATACCTAAGTGCTACAAATGCATTAGTTTAAGGGTAATAGTGTATATTATATAATACATCTAAAAAAAAGTAAAATTTAAAACATATATATATATATATATATATATATATATATATATATATATATATATATATATATATATATACATATATATATATATATATATATATATATATATATATATATATATATATATATATATATATATATATATATATATATATATATATATATATATATATATATATATATATATATATATATCATTACAACCTAATACACACCATAAAGTTTACATTAGAAGAATAACCACAATTTATCTATGAAAATAAGCCCGTTATATACTACCATAGTCAATAGAAGTTATACCTGGTCGGGAAATCTCGCGTAATTGAAGCTGATTTTTAAGCGAAACTTAAACACTAAAAAATATCAGTCACGTGATCAAAGTAAGTGCAAACTTTAATTTAAAATGGCTGAAAGTGATATATATTTTTGTAGTGAAGATTTAGACTTTATGTTTTTGGACATAGATCAGGATCTTTTGGATAATGATATAGAAGTAGATCTAAATGAAGCATTAAACGAGGCAAGTAAAAATTCATATTTTATATTTATACATTGTACATATTTTAGTGTAATTAAGGTTTATTCAGACTGGACTGATCCAGTCAGCAGCTTGTACATGTGTGTAAATAAATCAGTATATTTATTTATATTTTTAGCACGCTAATTTTTTTGTAGTTATGATTTATTTTTATTTTTTAAAATTTACATGTAATGGTTATTCTTAGGTGACTACATCTGCTGCATTCTCATGTCAAAAGTGCAAAAAGTGTTACAAGACAAAGGGTGGGTTAACAAGACATATCCGAACAAAACATTCTGATGGAAAACCTGATACTATCGAAGCAGAAAATTTCTTATCAGTTGAGACAATAAAAACATTAGTTAATGAATCTATAAATACTTTGCTAAGTGAAAAATACTACCCAGACATAATATTAAATAAAATATCTCAATATATCAATGTAATAAACGATCTATTATACCAACAGTGCAACAAAATTTACAAAAAGTTAGTGAAGACAGGAAATGGTGAAAATTTTTACATGGAAACATATTCTTCACTTGTATTAGAGTCTGATAAATATTTTAATGATCTTAAAAAACCTTGCAGTACGCTTATATCAACAGCGTTAACTGATAAAATTTTGTATTATTACAAAACATCTTTTTCAGAGAATAAATCAATTGAACTGAAACCTATATCTGCAAAGGAATTAGATGGTCTACAATACTTGGCTGGCTACATTTTGTCAAAATTTTTAAAGAAAGCTAAAAACAGTAAACACTATCAATCTGAAGAAACCCAAGCAATTACTTCTATTTTAAACCACTGTGTTCTTGAAAAAAATTTGTCACATGGACAAAGACTTATTGATGTTCAAAACAGAGGTGGACTGATCTCACTGACAGAAGAGTGTCAGCAAATATTTATTCTAACAGAAATAAAATTTCGGTCTGAAACTCTAAATTCAATGTTGAGAAAAGTTGACATTGCAAATATGGCATTTGAGCTAATCACAAATACAACTGTGCAAAGTTTTTATAATGCTATTGTCGAGAACTCCTGCCAATTTAAAATTGATAAAGAAGTTAAAACAAATCTTTTAGAGAGTATGGTAAAATTATACTTAAGAGTAAGATCATTTTCGATGGCTAAAGATGTTGTTCAAAGACAAAAAGCTATGTCGAAAAAAACTAAATCAAAAAGTGGGCTTCGATCAAACATTAAAAAAGGGTCTGATAAGACTACAATAAAGAAATAGTGAGCAGGGGTGGATATAGGATACAGGTAAGCCAACACCTCTGGCACAGTGTCAGCTTACCTGTAAGTTGCTTTATGTATATTTATGTTCTGTTTGTACCTCTGGCACAGTGTTAGCTCAAATGTAAGTTGTTTTATGTATATTTGTGTTCTGTGTAGACCTCTGGCGCGGTGTTGATTCACTCGTAAGTCGATTTTTTATGTTTGTGTTCTGTGTAGACCTCTGGCACGGTGTTGATTCACTCGTAAGTCGATTTTTTTTATGTTTGTGTTCTGTGTAGACCTCTGGCACGGTGTTGGCTCACCTGTAAGTCGCTTTATATTTGCTATGTTATTGTTGTGTTATCATTGTTATGTTATTGTTGTGTCTGTTTTTGTTTTGTTTGAACCTCTGATGCAGTGTTGCTTTACTCATAAGTTGTTTTATGTTTGTTTGTGTTCTGTTTTAATCTCTGGCACCGTGTTGGCTCATCCGTAAGTTGTTATATGTATATTTCCTGTGTTATTGTTGTGTGTAATCATTGTTATGTTATTGTTGTGGTGTTTTGTGTTGATAGACAACTTGGCTACCTTCACGTTGTTGTCGATTGTTAAAAATGATTATTAGGTAGTTTCATTACTGAAACTCTGCTTCTAATCATTCACTAAAAGCCAAGAATCAAGTTTTATAAATAAAATGTATATTTTGATGTTGTTGTCATTTTCTATTTTTAGTGCTGTTAATACTTCACAACAACATTCTCACAAGTTAGGTTTATTATTTATTATTCATTTAGTCAGGTGTTTTAATTTTTAACATAAATTAAAAAACATATTTATGTGCAATCTGTGTTTTCAATAATAGTTTATTCCATTGTTTAGGGAGAGTTTCGGATGTTATAACTGATTTTGGAGAGTTCTAGAAGTTGAGTAATCTTATACTCTAAGCATTTTCTAAAAGCCAAGACGGAATGTCGTTAATTTTCATACCATTTACTAAAAGCTATATAAATATTGTTACAATTTTATAATTCAAATTAGTAATTTCGAAATTTTTTTACTGTACTGATTTATATGTAATATTATATATTAATAAATCAATGAAGTTATGATTTTTTCGTAATGTTATTTCTACGCATTTGTCCGATAAAAACAAGTTTTCCTAATGAAAAAAGCATCTAGAAATTTTTATTTACAGAAATTTTATGAAATAAAATAATTTTCTTATGCAAACATAATCCGTACAAAAATTTAGACAAATTTAAAAAAAAAAAAAAAAAAAAGAAAATCACTAGCTACAAGTTAAATTAGATGGAAAAAATGGGATGCTGTATTTCAGATTTTTTTTTATATATTATTTACATAACCACTTATTTTTATAATTTAATTTTCATTAAGAAAATAATAATATGGAAAACCGTCCGAACCACATAAGTCTGAAAACAATGACATAAAATGTGTGTGTTTTTTTTTAGGGTAGTTATAAAAGCAACATTGAATAGTGATTTTGTAATCACCCTAATATATGTGAACAATTATATAAACAAATTTCACGGTTGTTCACATAGTAAAACTAGATTTTGAGAAAATCTTGTACAAAAAATTTTTTAACAGGTGCCTAAAGACTCATAATTATTTAACAGGTCACTAATATTTTTGAAAATAATATTAGTGATCATACAAAAATTCTATGAGCACAAAGTTTGTTATTTATGAACACAAAGCTGTTAAATATTACTTTATTCCGACTCACGAGCAATAGTTAGAGGTTTGGAATGGAGGTTTACTTATGGAATAAAGTAGCGATGTTGCAACACAACCTATTAGAAAAAATTAGTTCATTTTCAAAACTATTTTTATCCTTAATAAAATGAGAAAAACAAGTATAAAAAATGAAAACGATGTTTTATTAGCTTACAACATACATTCATTGTGAGGGTGAGGCGCGGAAGAAGATATAGAGTTGTATTATAATTACTCAATGGATGAAAGTAATATCATAAAATGCAATTAATACATAATTTTTGAATGTTGTACAATATATAGATATATAAAGTTATTTATATACTATATACTATATATATATATATATATATATATATATATATATATATATATATATATATATATATATATATATATAAATTATGCATAAATATTGCAATATGCATAAATATTGAAAAAGAATCCAAATCAGACTGGTTTTTTATAATCATATGGTTTTTCGTGAAAACTGTTCCTAATAATAATAAAATTAATAAAATTCAAAGCCACTATACAGAGAGAAATGGTGGGGGGGGGGGGGGCAGTTAGACGATATTGTCACAGGACCCGAAGGGTTTAGGGACCCCAAATACTATTTAAAGGCCATTTTTTAAAATTTTAAGAAAGTGGCTGTTCCAAAGATTATTTTTGAAAGAAAAATTGCTGTTCCTAAGAAAATGGTAACAGAAATAAAATTTGCCCTAAGCCCCAACCAACCTCGGAGCGACTTCAATTAAAAGTTTTTATGGATTATTTTCTTTAAGAAAAATTGTTTTTTATTTGACGAATTTGTTAACTCACTATAAAAAAATCACCACTTCATTTTTGATTTAATAATATATATTATAAATATAAAATAGTATAACAGTACAATAGTATACAGTATAATAATAAAATTATAAAAAATACTATGACAATTTCGATAACTTGTCACAATATTTATATAGCTTTTAGTGAATGGTACGAAAATTAACAATATTCCTGTCTTGGCTTTTAAAAAATCGTAAAAATATTAGATTTCTAAACTTCTGTTCTACAAGAACTCTCCAAAATCAGTTATAGCAACAGAAACTTTCCCTAAAAAATGGAATGAACTATTATTGAAAACACAGATTGCACATAAATATGTTTTTTAACTTATGTTAAAAATTAAAACACCTGACTAAATGAATAATAAATAATAAACCTAACTTGTGAGAATGGTGTTGTGAAGTATTAACAGCACTAAAAATAGAAAATGACAACAACATCAAAATATACATTTTATTTATAAAACTTGATTCTTGGCTTTTAGTGAATGATTAGAAGTAGAGTTTCAGTAATGAAACTACCTAATAATCATTTTTAACAATCGACAACAACGTGAAGGTAGCCAAGTTGTCTATCAACACGAAACACCACAACAATAACATAACAATGATTACACACAACAATAACACAGGAAATATACATATAACAACTTATGGATGAGCCAACACGGTGCCAGAGATTAAAACAGAACACAAACAAACATAAAACAACTTATGAGTAAAGCAACACTGCATCAGAGGTTCAAACAAAACAAAAACAGACACAACAATAACATAACAATGATAACACAACATTAACATAGCAAATATAAAGCGACTTACAGGTGAGCCAACACCGTGCCAGAGGTCTACACAGAACACAAACATAAAAAAAATCGACTTACGAGTGAATCAACACCGCGCCAGAGGTCTACACAGAACACAAACATAAAAAATTGACTTACGAGTGAATCAACACCGCGCCAGAGGTCTACACAGAACACAAATATACATAAAACAACTTACATTTGAGCTAACACCGTGCCAGAGGTACAAACAGAACATAAATATACATACCTCTATCCTATGAGCGAGTAAAAACACAAAAGATTGTAAATTACTTCTTTATAGATCGTTTTTTTAAAGGAGCATTATCAACAAATTTCCAAGAAACTCTACGTTTTTGCTTAAAACTTCCTTTTGTATTCCCTGTAACTGGTGCAATAGAACGTTGCATACGCAAGGTGTTGGATTGATAGCCAAACTGAATTAAAGTTGGATTATCATTTCGTCTTCCAAGACTACGCTGTCTTCCAAAATACTCTTCTAATACATCTTGATTGAAGCGCTCTGACAATATAAATGGCATTCCTTCACTTAACAGAAAACGTGTTGATTCCACAAAAGAGTGTACCATTATAAGTAAACCCTCATACGTTTGCCAGGAAATAAACATGCGATCACGAGCATTGCGTGTAAAATTTCCTTTACGATTTTTGATAGATTCTTTCCAACTTGAAGAGTCATTCAAATCACGATAAGGTTCTAAGTCTGATTTCTTTTTAAATAAACTTTCACTTTGGTTTCTTACATTTAAACAGTCAAAGAATCTATCCATAAGTGAACAAAGTTCAGCTGTAACATGTGTTTCAGGAGGATAGTACCGATAAAGAATATTTGCAACACTTGCACTTAAAACTTGAGTGGCATATCGCACATTCATTACAGAATATGCAGTTAAATGAACATGTTCATAACTAAGTTTTGGTAAAACCTTAAGACTGTTATTTAGTTCACCTTGTACTATTTTAACGATATGGGACCAAAAAATACTCTGATCACGGTTCCAAAGATTACGGGTACATTTACCCTCACCAGAGTGATACATGCAGTTTCTAAATGTTTTCATTAGATGTGGAACATCTGCAAAAAAATATATAAAACGATCAGGTGCATATAAATTAATAGTGCGATACACAACATCTGAGTCATCTAGATCTAATGTCTAATCCACGATGCATTTTATAAAATGATCGATTTGGTGAGGCACCATCTGAAACTGCAACAATTACTTTCAAGTTACAACAAAGTTCTAATATAGAGACAGCTTTCCAAAATGTTGGCATTATTTGCATAGCTGTTACACCATTAGTAGCAAAATATGCGAGACAAAATTTGAGATCGCATGCAATTCCACGTATATAATATACTAGACAGTGACTGGCTAAATCATTTACATCAGTAAAGGTCGAAAAGTTTATTTCAGGATCTCCAAGATCAACGTATCCAACGAGCTCACCTGATGACTTGTCAAATACTAAATTGTCTTGAATGCGTATTTCATCAAAAGAAAGTACAACATTTCGCTGAATATCAGAGAGGTCTTTTGTATTTTCTTTTAATTCAGCAATCACTGCTGGGTTAAATCCTACAGATGGTCGAATAGCATTCTTATAATCGCGTAGTGTCCGCCTACTTGGAAGTGTTAAAATTTTAGCATCTCTAAGTTCATCATATGCTGAGGCTGATTTAGATGCAAGAGAAAGACAAAATCGAATTATCATTGGATGATATCTAGGAACTTTGCTAGTTAATAAACGATTCTGTTCTTCCCAAAAAAGTTTCATAAATGGTGTCATGTTTTTTTGGTTTTTACTAATTATAATATCAAGATCAGAACTTAAACAAGTGCTGACTTGAATACCTTTAGCCTGTATTTCCTTTTGCATTCTTTCAATATTCTGCACAAGTTTTTTATTTTTAGAACGCTCTTCAACGAGTGCTAACTTTACACGATTTGGATGTGTGACAGATAATGGGGCATTCAAATGAGCTGGTTGATCAATTTTTTTTGAAGTACTAACTTTACATTTAATAAAATTAATTTCAAAATTTAAACATTTTACACACTTTTCACAATCAGAGCCAATAACAAAACAATCTTTGTGACGTTTATATTGACTAGCTTTAAATGGTACTTTTTTCTCATTGTTAAGGTCAAATTTATGAGGAATAGAATGATTTATTAGATTTCCATCTTTATCGCAATCTACCAAGTCATATGTTATGCCAGTACACATCTGTAAAGATTGAACTTTATTTAACAATTTTGATATTTTAACATGACGAACTGATCGTAAAAATTCTTTATACAAGTGATGGTCATCAGGCAATGTCCATCCATAAACAATAACAAAAAATTCTAGACTACATCCAACAACAACTTCTAAATGTGGTACTAACGTAAAAGTTTGAAAAGATTTAAATGAAATAAAGTTTTTATCATATGATATAAACCAATTGAGTTTAAGCTTCTTTACTATGTTAGTAAGTTCACTAAAGTTTTTGTATTTGTCTGTATGTTTTTCTTCTGTAGTCAAAATATCTTTAACAATAGATATATGCCTTCTTTCAGGAGCTTTAACAGTTTCATGAGATTTCTTAGGAATGTTGAGCAATGGTATTGCCCCAAGCTTTAACGTTTTTCGACCAGTTTCTATAGTATAAAAACAATAACATAATCAGACATAAATAAAACAAGACTTATTCTACTGCAACAAAAAAAATTATTTTGTTTTGGTTTTTAAAAATTTAAAAAAGATCTGAAATAAGTTTTAACAGGCATAAGTTAAATGAGGAGTTAAAAGATTTTAAATAAGATAAGAATATTTTAAATAATAATATTTTAACATTTAAAAAAAAGAAAATAACTCAGAAAATAACTTACTTGTAAACTCAATATCTGTTGGCTCAAAATGAAGTTCACAAAGAAAGATATTTCCATTTGCAATGCGCTCTTTGAGATGCTTGTCAAAATGTCTACATTTTGACAAAATGTTTAGTATATTTTTTCTCCATTGTTGATGAAAATCATCTGGCCGATTTGGAAGTTGAAATATTCCAATACTTTGGTGTTTAGAGTTTCTTGTAATTCCACATTCAGGAAAAGCACAATTTGCTCCAGGCATTTTTAACTCAAAAAAGTTATAAAATAATTTTAACTTAATTATTTAAACAGCTTGAACAAAATTAATATTAAAATTAATTGAATGGCAAGCTTTTAGAATTAAGAGAAGTGAATAAAACTGAAGACTTTCTTCAATCGGTAAATTTTTTTTGCACTTACTTTGATCACGTGATTACTATATTTTTAAACAATAAGACCGTTTTGTCGAAATACTTTATTTCCCGACCAGGTATAACTTCTATTGACTATGATACTACTAACATACACGTGTTAAGTTTTACAAAACTTGAAGCTTATAAAGTCTATAAGAATACAGTATTTTAAGTTTACAAAAAAAATACAAGATTCATACAAGACTTTTATTAGAACTAAAGTTTACAAGATTATTTTTTTATATTATCATCCTTTGTCAAAGTCAAGTCGTGATGCTGCTTTTACATTACATTGTTTTTTGTTCCTAAGCAAGTAGTTTTTAACTTTTCCCCTTTT